TGTAATTGATTATTATGTCCAATTACCTATCAATATTACAAATTATTAATGATGTTTTTTTAATATTTATGGGTTTTCAAATGAAAGTCATATATATATATATATATATATATATATATATATACACACATACACTAGAAGAGTATTTACGTAATGCAACGAAATAAATTTTGACTTTAATGTTTAGTTTATATTATTTGTTTTATTGATATAATACGATTTTATGTGGTTTTGAGAAAACGATAATGTTTTTATTTTTGAATAAAATATAAATCGAAATTAGTATCAAATTAACTATTTAATAGATCTCAATTTTTTGGTGTAACTTCTTTAATTCAAATTTTTATTTTAATTTAATTTAGATTTAATAACAAAATAATTTATTTTTGGTTTAACAATATAATTTTTTTATAAAGATAATTTTTTTTGAACGGCCAATTTATTAAAACGAAACTAGCTAGCGGCTAGACCGACGAGAGAAAAAACAAGAAAACAACTACACCATGTTCGGGTTACAAGACAACCTATTCCAAGCTAACTTGCCATAAGCCTTAACTATTATCTTTATATTTTTTTATAAAAATAATAATTAATCATTCTGTTAGATTTCAATGATTATCTTAATTATATTTTAGATTTTCTATATTTAAAACGAATGTTTATCCTGTATTTGATTATGTTTATCCACAATTAGTTACACAAATTCAAACATGAAGCTTTAATAAGTTGTACTTACGCACAATTTACTTGTAATCTTGAATTTTAAGTAATATGCATCAATAAACGGTACTTCATGCATAAAAAATGGTTTTTAAGAGTTTTTGTCAAATGATTTATAATATAGTGTATATATATATATACATATATTCCTCTAATATGAAAAATTTAATACTTAATTAATGTATAGTTTAACAAAAAAGGTATTAATTTACTAGTTGGTTGAAAAAATTACAAATTAAGAATGAAAAAGTCAAATGAGAAATATGTTGCAATAAAAAGAAAATAAAATCTCTAATAATTTATTAATTACTTGGAAGTCTTTATAAGATATGTATATATATACCATACACAGGTATATGCATAATATAGCCCTCTTCTTTGTCTTCATATACTTCTCTTTCCTGTACATTACATGATGCAGCCTCTAATTTCCCCCTACTTTTCTTCATCTTTGCTCACTGTTTTCTTGGTGTCTCTTCTTTTCGTTGGTGACCATGCCGCAGCGCGGATAATCCTGCCGGCAAACGTGACTGTGCCCGCAATTATAGCGTTCGGGGACTCAATAATGGATCAAGGGGCCAACAATAATCTAAACACTGTGGTCAAAGCAAATTTTGCTCCCTATGGAAAGGATTTTTTGGCCGGAAAACCATCCGGAAGATTTTCCAATAATAAGACACCCGCGGACATGCTCGGTACATCTTGCATTTTCAAACTTTTTTATGACTCAATTCCGTATTTATTTGTTTTCTTCGTCTTTGTACGCTCATTTCTTTTCTACTTTTGCGTATCTTAAAGTGCTTTTAAAGGTGATTAATGAATCTAAATTTGGATAAGATATGTACGTGACATATAGATTAAACTTTTGTTAACATAAGTGATTCGTTCAATCATTCGTTTTTGAATGTCACCATAGAAAATGACCATTTTAAAGGCGTCGTTTTTGATGATTCACGACCAAAACCAACAACGTATTTTGCTATTTAATCYGTAAAAAAGAAAAATTGCATAACAGTGTAAACTTTGTAGTTGATCAAYCTTAAACCTTCTTAATTAATTAGCACTAAAATCTTTTTGATTAAGAACCCATTAAGCACCTTGTACTTTTATTAGCCTCTTTAAGTTACAACTTCCATACAGCTTATTTGAACGGTCAATACATACAGCAACAGCTTTTGAATGCATTAATATAAATAGTAAAATATGAATTAAGATTTAAAATGCATTTTATATTGTTATAATAATACAAATTAATGCATTTTTATTTAAAACTTAATGGTATGCACTTAAAATTGGTAGTACAACTTTGTACCACTCAACTAAAATATAAACCCATTCAAGGAAAAATAATGTGTGTTAACCATAAGGGTGGTGCCTGATTGGTTTGARCTTGGCTCYAAAGATCAAAAGTATCAGGAGGTCCGAGGTTCAAATCCAAGGAGGAATAAAAACCCCCTTGTGGCMACRAARGTTCAAATGCGATGACTCCRGGCTATCTGCAAAGCAGGTGATCGCTCTGGGATTAGTCGGCTCATATARCRGGTTGGATWTCCAGATTAATAAATACTAATAATCTATACTACATTAATAAGCATTTAAACCAAAGTCTTAAGTACAAGTATTTAAGCATAATGTACAACCATTTTATGCAAAATTTTCAAAAATCTTTTAATTACAACTCATAAAGTATGATGTACAAGTTTTTAATACAACACCATCAATATCACCCAAACAGAAAGTCTTAGTTTTGCTTTATTACTTACATCTCTTTTTCCTCCCTTTTTTAGCTTTAGACATGGTAAATCATCTTCCCAAAAATGTTTCATGGTCTCAGCTTTTGAAGGTTTTTCAAACTTCAACTAAATTTAAATTCAAATTTTTGTAATGAGTTATGAGTATATGGGTTTAGAAATCCAATACGTGTGCAATTATTTTTCTATTCGATTTTGCTAATACACCGTATTAACCTTCAACTTTATATATTAGTTGACTAGCAAAATAATCACACAAACTTATAATTCAACGCTAAACTAATGTTTCAGAATTGTGATTCAACCGCACTGCATCGCACAGGTATACCACTAGTAGTAATAATAATAATAATGTGTGTACATAAATATTAGTATAACTAGATTTACATTCTAAAAGTTACTAGAACTGGAATATARGAAGTAAAAAACATCTCAATTTCACATAGATGAAAGGTTATATGTAAAATAAAAATCATAGATGTTTTTATTTCTTAGAAGGGTACTCACTCACACAATGAAGCGAAATACATTTTGATTTTAGTGTTTCGTTGTTTTGTCTTAGTCAGTGTTATAATACGTTTTTATGTGGCTCTGAGAAAACGATAATGTTTTTAGTTTTCAATAAAATATAAATATGAA